TTCTTTTATTTATTTATTATTTTGGTGCCAGGAATTGAACCCACGATCTTGCATTTGCCAGGCAGGCGCTCGTGCCACTGAGCTGTATCCCTGGCCCCTTTAATTCTTTTAAATCACCTTCCCATCCCTTCACTCTCCCTCACCTCCATCTCTTGATCTGTAGCCCATTTGAGAAAGCTCTATCTTCCTACTTCCTCGATCTATCTTTTATTTTGCTATTTGTATTTTGGGTTTGTCATATGAGTGAACTATGCACTGTTAAAGCTTCATGTTCAATTTGTTTCACTTAACATTATGGTCTCAAGGTGTATCATCTTCCTAGGAATGTCTCAAGTTTGGGCTGATTTGTGGCAGAGGAGTGTCCTACTGTATGTAAATACATTTTCTTTATCCACGCATAAAGTCTGCTTTCAGGATTTAGCTATCATGAATTGAGGACAACATAAAAAAGTAAAATCAGTGTGTACTTGTGATCACTTTGGGTGTGATGTCTCTCAAAATTCTGCTTCCAAGATTTAACTAACACGAATTGTGCTGCTATAAACACAGGTATGCATGTTTTACTAAGTAGGATGTTTTTATGTCTTTGGGGAAGACACCTAGAACAGGAATAGCAGAATTGAATGGAATTTTTATTTTAGGTTTCTTGAGAAATCTCCATGCTGACTTCCCCAGCACTTGTACTAGCTTACACTCCCATCAACAACGTAGAAGAGGTACTTTTCCCACAGCCTCACTAGCATTTGTTATAATTTGACTATCTTGATTATGATCTTTCCAGAGCAGGATGAGATTTCACTGCTTTTTATACCAGAATTTAAAGAGATACCGCATTCAAAGTGATCACAAATACACTTACCAACTATATATTTTTAACGTTGTACTCAATTCTAAATTTGAATTAAGGGGCCAGGGATATAGCTCAGTGGCACAAGCACCTACCTGGCAAGGGCAAGGTCCTGAGTTCGATTCTCCATACCCAAAAATAAATAAATAAACAAATAAATAAATAAATAAAGTTCAATTAAGAGGAAAAATACATCCAGTATAACATATGTATCTAGAAGGTGGCTTTCAACTTGGAACAATATGATACTGAGTGATGATTACATAGTGACAGTTTGTAAATATCCATTGACTTAACTTTCAGAGTTAGTTTATACGGGAGAAAAGAAGACTTGCTAGGGTTAGCTGAAGAAAATGCCAAAATAAAACCGGAGGATGAAAGAACATAACAGTAGTCTAGAAAAAGGAAAAAGTCCAAAAAGATGCTCTCATTTTATAAAGTAAGAAGATAAACATATTTTGAAGAGTTAAGAGAAAAAATGACATGTAAATTACAAAGGTAAATGATAGAATGGTAACGGGTACATCTAAAATAGAGATGGTGAAGCACGCTTGTATGAAACAGTAAACCATTATTATTTAGACTCGATTCATCACGAAGTACAGATATTAGCTAGCATTATATGAGACTTCTAAGAAGAGCATTAAAAAGAATTTTTTATGAAGTAGAAAATGAGCTATTAAAGTGGGCGTGGCCCATGTCTATAAACCCAGCACTCTGTGAGGCTGAGGCAGGAAGACCAAAGTTGAATTCTAGCTGGAATCACTTAGCAAGATCCTGTCTTAAAAAAGAGCTGTGTGTATAGCTAAGTGTGAAGACCTTGGATTCAGTTTCTAGGATGGAGAGAGGCACATACACGTACACAGATGCGGACAGAAATAGGCAGACAGACAGTGCGAGACAGAGAGAGAGAGGTAGAGAGAGTAAAAGAGTGGCTGAGAGAGTAGGATTTAATGGCAGGTCAGGTTGAGTAATTTTTTTTCCATTTCTCTGTCACCACATTCAGTCTATATGGATATCTTGCTGGCACTCAGAAATGAGCATTAATATATAGGTACCAAGTTACAACAGCCTTCGGTACGTCATAGAAAGTAGAAATGTGAATTTTCTAACTTACATGGTAAGACTGCTGCTGAAAGATCTGCTTGAAAATTAGCAGGTTTTTTCATACTTATCCTTTCTTCCAGTTAAATGCTAAATTTAGGAGAACAGTTTTGTCTTACTTACATGTATTTACATTAAGCTTTTCATATAATCCCCAAATAATAACTGCTCAAAATAGATGTTTGTAAAAGAAAAATTTATCAACATATTGACTACTATAGTAAATTCAATTAATTTGATGATTAAAATTATTTATGTTTAAGGGGCTGGGGATTTAGCTCAGTGGCAAAGCGCCTGCCTGGCAAGCGCAAGGTCGTGAGTTTGGTTCCCGGTACCGGAGAAAAACCAAAAAAAAAAAAGAAGTCCAATTGAAAAACAATAAATGACCTGAAGTCAGGGTTCAGTCCCCAGCAACAACAACAGCAAAAAAGGAAATATATCTCAGTATTGTATTAACTGGACATTTATAA